GATTCAAAAAATTCCGCAGTTTCTTTCCACCTACCGCCTTCTCTCGTCAACTCCTTAAACGCACCGCAAGAAACTACGGACAGGCAGTGCTCCGAAGTCATCAGCAATTGCACTCGGACTAAAGTGCCAATCATGTCTGCTATCTCTCTCATCCCTGCATATCATCGAACTGCCAACTCAAGCCCATGCTCCTCCCCGCAGAAGGTGCCTCATTCCCCACGGCCTATATCAATTGCTGACCTGAATTTGGGCTCCAACATCGATGCTTCCATCGAAGAAACTGGTATCACCATTGACGACATATCTGCATTTATTGAAGGTCCAGATCCTGTTGACAAAAAGTGGGTGTGTACGTATGGAGGTTGTAACAAAAGGTTTGGAAGGAAAGAGAATATCAAATCTCATGTTCAGACTCATCTTGGGGATAGACAATTCAAATGCAATCACTGCAACAAATGCTTTGTCCGCGGGCACGACCTAAAACGACATGCCAAAATTCATACGGGAATTAAGCCCTACCCTTGCGAGTGTGGCAATAGCTTTGCCCGGCAGGATGCCCTAACAAGACACAAACAACGAGGAATGTGTAGTGGTGCATTTAAAGGAGCTATACGAAAGGTGGTCAAGCGTGGAAGACCGCGAAAACACAGGCCAGAGCAAGACGAACGGCGATATAAAGCTACCAAGACGCGAATTTCTGCAAGTGAAAAGTCCTATGCAAGTTCAAATTCAGAAGCATCCTACCTTTCGCTCGCCTCTCCTCCAAGTGAAAGCAACGATGCTGGGAGTGTCCGTGAATCGAGTATCGGTGATGATATGCATTACCTACACAGTGATGGGTTTGGCTTGCCCCCGGATGTATTTACCTTCACACCTCCCGCCTCTCCAGGATTTAGTACTGGAAACGTGCCTTCTCCCACCCGAAGTTTCCGTTCAATAACACCCACTATGGAGAGAAACTTTTTGTCTCTCTCACCAACGAAAAGGCCTCTCGATGATATACCCGAGGAAATCCCAGATATCCCGCTACTTCACCCAGGATCTCCAACCCCAGGCAAAAAGGAATCTCCAATCTCGACTTCCCAATATTTGCTGCCGTCACCAGCAGAGCCCACTTTCGCCGCTGCCCACGGTTCAGATTTCGATGTTTTCACCGTCAGCCAAGATAACACCTCTGGTTCTATAACGACGACTTTTGATGAGAATGAACTTCCCTCTCTCGAAATTTCATCTCCCGTCGGTGAGATTCCGATGGAGCCAGTTGACTCTATTTCTTGCGGATATGGCTCTGACCTCTTCCTCTCTACTACCCCGATTCAACGCGACAATGTTACCGACCTTAATCTCAGCGTGCAATTTTTGTCAGGATCATTCTCGCAGTACTCTGAGGACTTTTTCAGCAGTTTTTCGTCAGAGGTTGATAATGAAATGTGATGTGGTTTATGATATGGTATGTGAAGCTACCACTGTTGTAGTAAATATGCATTATTAGTTGCTGACGCTGCTGTTCAAGTTTGGATCAACTCGTCCGTAGGTAATGTGAAAAACTCATTAGTATGGGCGCGAATACATGTTATGATAGATAATGATTGATTAACCTTTCTATTTATTACTTTCCGGACGTTTGGGGCATCTTACCTGTTTTTATCCTGTGGATTTTATAGTTTCATTATCCTATACACGACTTGCTTTCCTGTTTCTATTTTTATTAACATTGTCCCTCCTCCCCTTTAGTTTTCTGTTCTGGGACTCTCCTTTCGGATATCTTATTTGTTTTTGTTCTTTTGTTTTGTCATTTCCATTTAGCTCCTTTGTTATTTCCGGTTTGCGGAACGATTGATAGATACTTGCGTCTTTCCTGGCCATTTTTCAATTACGACATAATTCTGTAACAACATACTATTCCTGCGCACAAGCTTTGCCGTTTTTTTAATAAAAAACGACAATGCGACGGATATAAAAGTTCTGTTTGCTTGGTTTATTCGGGTTTGTTATAGTGAAGCTTTAGCGACAAGGGATTTTTCTAGCTTTTTATCATTATTTATTAACTAATGGTTATTTGTTTACCTCCGATCTGCTAATCCTTTTATCGTTTGATACTAGTCACGGGGGTATTGTGTTGGACATCTGAGTGGTTGAATTGGTGCAGCTATCCAGTGGTTATATGAGTGTACAGGTAGTCCGTGATAGGAAGCCATTGGCTACCTGGACATCCATATTGAAGCATCCTCACGTGACATTCTGGATTTCTGCTCCTCTCAGCACAAATTCACACTGAGTAAAACACTGAGTAAAACTGTTCTTAACGATAATTTAAAGTCTTCGGTGATCTAAAACTACATCGACTGTATTCTCCTTTAATATACGCCCCGAAAACAGCGAAACTCCATTCCCTGCCTGGGTATATATTTATATATACTAACCTGTGTAGGTAAACGCGATAGAAAAACATCACCATAAAAGAAATCTCATTGATAGAACACCGTACCGAAAATCGCCAGGCATTAAAACGAAGGGAACGTGGAACTAGGAAACAAACTAAGCGTCACGCCAATAAATCTCCAAGCGTAACGGGTGCCGGCCTCGTGATTCGTATATAACACTCTGGCTTCGACGTTTCGGAACCGCGTCCGAGTAGAATGTAGTTTGTTCGCGGAGGGATAATTTGCCGTCGATCGTCTGGTGTGATTTTTCAATGTCATGCTTTAGTACATGAAATTCTGGCCCAATCGCGAATTGCCAGGGGGTCAAATAATGAAAAGCTGGGACTCACTGTAAAAGAGGTTGGTGTGTCGATATCTGAGGCACAAACGAAACCATCGGCGTCATTGAACGCACAAAGGCCCTTGCTTGACTTGAGAAAGAAGCCGTCTATGGGGGGATATAGGGTCAGGAATGACAAAAATATATACGGTTAGGGGCACACACCATCGGAACCTGGTACTGTGTGGAAGCTCGCGCACGTTCCAGCAGCAAACCAACCTCCACGGCTAATTATACATCCGTGCTGTCTTCCAGAGTAGTTTACTATAAGGTTTCCCTTGCCGCCAAACGGGGTCCCAGTTGGCCTTGGGAAGGTCTCTGAAGCGGATGGTTTTTTTGGTGGATATTTCTTGGGCTTGTATCGGATACCACTTCGAGGGCAGTTGGATGGCGGAGCGACTTCATATCATCCATGTTAGTGGGAGAAAACATTCTCTGGGTGTCTACGTGCAGCTGATGGACCAACCTGGATCTGTTGGCACGAATATACCCGACTCTAATGGTCCAGCGACGTTGAAGTAGTACCATATCTCATGCAGCACTCCATTTCGACACTTAACAGCCACTTCTCGGCCATGTGCCTTTTTCAACGTATCCTCTATAGCATCAAGGGTGTATGTAAGTGTATCTGACGGGGAGATCCCAGCGGTGGAAAGAATCTTTGTACATATACCCTGTCAGCTATGTTTTGCGTCCTTGAGCCTAACTTTCACCGAAAAGAAAAAACATCTACTCGGGCCCACATACATCATAAGAAGGCAATCTGAGAAACAAATCAACCGCCTTTTGAAAATACGTCACAACCTGCTGCTGGTCTCCGTAATCAGGGTAGCAATTAGGCTCCAGAGTACTGATGCATGTCCCGTGTTTATTCCACTCATGTTCCCACAGATTCTCGTCATCGCCGCGGAAGGACTTCCAGTGACTTTTCATGTAGGCCAATAGCTCCGACCGGCCGCTTTGCTCCAGGATGGAGGACAGATTGTGAACGCTACGGGAGGGATCGCAGAATGCGTCAAAACTCCCATCGCAATGATCAGGCCTGAGATAGCATAGCAAAATCTTAGATCCAGCGGTTATTTCATATAAATGAGGTAGAAATGGCATGCTTACCATAGTCCATGGATTGTCCAGCTGTCCTCAGGCCCAGTGGGTGGATCCGTGTCCCAGAACTGCGTCTGTAAGAGCAGGCCACCAGGATAATGGAAGCAACACGTATCCTGCGACTTGAATTCAACTTTGCAGCTCAGCTGCGGATTTGGACAAGAGTGGATTTCTGCCCCATTTGCTTCTTGGTGAATGGGCTGGTTACTACTCCAAAGTGGGATTTGCCAGGTTCCTAGTGTTGCAACTCGCAGTACATTTCTGGGAGAGGGAAAGCTGGGTTTTAGCAGCTTTGCCACCTCGATGAATTCTTGCCAAAGCTTTTCTTTCGCTGTCATGTTGTTGGAAAATTTAACCTACTAGTGATGGGTGGTACTATCATATCCTCAGGTCGTTGGCGATGTTGATGTTTGGCTGGATAATTTAAGTTGCTCAAGTCAGGTGGTGGCTGGCTACAAGCAACCGCATGATCAACAACTGGAAGTTCACTGGCTCCATTGGCTCGAGATCAGCAAGCAATTTTTTTTTTTTTTTTTTTTTTTTCTTCCATTTTTGCTAAGGCCATATGCAATCAGAGATTATGACGGCCTTCACCTCACTAGCTTACTACTTTTAATTTTCAGCTACTTTCTAGTTACATTTCCTCTATTAATGAACAGTCATCCTTAATGGAGAGACTTCATGTGCGACTATTCTTAGATATATAGTCTATTCTTAGATATATGGCTACGCCACGTGGTATATATATAGATAGATAGATATAGATAGATATATGGTTGAGGACACGTAGTCCGACTATTATATATAGAGCCTTGATGTTCTAGATAGTTAGAGGGGAGATAGATCATTCTTTTCATATAGATATATTCATTTTTTCCCAATACTTCACTATACCATTCTGGATCTAGCTCTCAAGGTGGGCAATTACCCCCTCCGTCACTCGCGCAACTCTAAGCAGTCTCTTGACAATCGAGCTATGTAAGGATCACGCACTCGAATCCCACACTATACTGAATCCATCTAGACTATATACACATAGTGTTGAACAATGCTCCACTCTGCAGTGGTTTTATTAATAGAAAATGAGATAAGAAAGGGCACCTCCGTGTCCGACAAATGTGATAATATCCTTTTGAAGAGAGTGGGATTCGAACCCACTACCTTCTGGTCTCACCAGTGGTGGCCCCAACACCAAGTGCCCACTTGAGAAAGCATTCCACAGACAGCGCTTACCACTACGCTATCCACCGCCCCTCAGCAAGCAATTAAACGAGCGACTGCAACACCGAAAAACTATGCACGCGGTTAATGGATCTTTATGTTGGTGAATGTCAAAGACATGCCATTTGCCGAGGATTTGGCAGTTATTGATTGTCCTGCGCCGAAGAACTACGTAAAGTTGGAAATGCACCAAGTCTATTGGTCGGCTTGCCGCGTTGAAACCAGGCGATAGGCGCCCCAAATTTAGCCGAGGCAACATTGGACGCTAGGGTATTAGCCGGAACCCTGCCGATATTGCTTGAACCTTGTACCTACTTTACATGTCAAGTAGGGCGATGATATTGGATTCTGTGGCGGACTTATTCCGAGTCTATAATTTGCGACTTCCGCTTGGGCCACAATTTGGCAAGGATATAAAGTTCTCCAAGTAACTGAATTCAATTCCTTCTTTTGATTGAAATATCCATCAATTACCACTACACTTCTGGTTGCACGCCTTTTTGAGCAGTCTAGAAGCTGCGTAAGATCCCGAAGGAGAAATTGGCAAAGAATAATTTCACTATGACAGTCCCTCCCCACACGCAGGAGTTCGAAGATGCGATCAAGATTACACCCTTGTCTTCGCATACCTACTCGGCGGATTTGGTTACGCAATGGTCTGTTGGGAGCGGTATGTTTTCCTGCAATACAGAATCTCTCGAAATTTGGTTTCGTATACAATAAGCCTATTTGCAAGGATAAAGAAAATCAGGGCCAGCTGCTAAACTGAAACTTCGGCAGCTCCTAATGGAGGGTATCTAACTGCGATTCTCTACCGGCTTGCAACAACCCATTTCCAGAACACCCATCCAGCCCGACACTCGTCCCAACCAATGCCAATCAGTATGCAATTGACCTTCATCCGGCGGTCAGCCGTGGGCCCTGCTATGTTGACAGTACGCGATGTGAAGCTGGGATTAAGGACGTCTACAATTCAGGTCACATTGAGTCAACCTGGCCCATCAACCTCGCCAGGAAAACAAGTTGAAAAGGTGGCAGGATACATCACGGTCTCAGATCCGGTATCAGAAGTGGGTGTATCGACAGCCTGTAGTTGGGAACTTTATCCGCCTCCTCCAGACACGAAGCCACCACAATTTTGTTCAACACCTGGTGAACGACCCGTTCAAAACAGTCCTTGGAAGAAAACGATCATGAAGCAACCCCAATTCCGACGCGCATCGAGCAACACGGAGTTCTGGGAGCCGGTAGATCCTCGGTTGGATGAACGAAGAGGGATTACAGATCAATGGGGCAGGTTGCGACCTCATGGACCAAAAGGAGGGTTGGGAAAGTGGACAGCCGAGGCTGTGGCATACCTGATCGACATTTTCCCTATGGCTTTGGAAAATTTGGAAAATGCAACCGCAAAGGAAATGGAAAGCCCTCCACCATATTGGTTTCCAACCATTGCATTGAATGTTGATTTCAAGAAGCCGCTTCCGAAAAGTGGCGTAGAGTGGCTGTATAGCCGAGTTACGACAAAATCCGTCCGTAATGGGAGAACCGATATTGAGGTGATAGTGCTGGATGAAGCCGGAGAAATAGTTGCACTTGCCACACAGTTAGGCCTAGTGTTGGGATCAAGTCGGAACACTGGCGAAAACAGCAAAGGGAACAACCAACAAAGGAGCGCAAATCTTTGATTATTGTATCGCTCCAGCGATAATTTCCGGTTTTCGGGATTAGATAGCAATAAACAAATAATATTTTAGATCGTCAACTATGATCGTCCACTACTCCCCGTATCTCGTACTGCTATACCCAAAGCAAAAAATGGATGATATGCAAAAATGTGTCGAGTGGTATCATTATGCGAAGAAAAACAACCATAAAACGCCTACAATGCAATTTCGGTTACCTTAAGTTTTGCTTTCCGCCCGCAATTCATCGCTCAGTTAATTTTGTCGACTTCTTGGGGTCTATCCCATGCTGTTTTTTTTCCTTCCACAGCCTGAGCACCTCAAATCCTACTTCCACTGCAATAAGGGCAATGATGATCCACTCGAGTCTTAGACCGTGTGTTTCACTCAGACGTTCACGCAGGACACTGGCAATTTCCTGTGCATAATCCATCTTTTCATTAAGCACCTTAATTCGGATGCCTACATCCAGGGCCCTTCCGACCTGGTCATAGTATCCCTCCAGACCAAGCTCGTGGCGACTATCCCAGAAGAGGTCGGGTAGCGAGTCCGTGAGCTCAGAATATAAATTCAGTTGTGCCCTAACGCTAAGGAGTTGCCCGGTTTTTTGCAGCACGAAGCGTCGGGTAAACGGGAGGCGAGTGCCTTTGGAAAGGAGGGTTGGAATGTTGCGGGTTGATTCGAAATAATTGGCAAGAAGAGTTTCTAGCACAGCTAATTTGGTACTTCGTGCGAGGCCAGACGAAAAGGCAATTTTAGTTAAAACGTTATCCACGCCTTCCCTACCATTCTCGCGCAAATCACGGCTGCTGTCTGTGGTAATTTTTGTACCAAGAGTTATCGTGTCGCCCTTAATACTGCTGTGCTCCCTGCTGGGATCTTCGATGTAGTCCAGATCTTCGGTCTCCATCGCATCAATGTGCGGGTTTTCTGCAGCTGGGAGAAGTACAGATGTTGCCAATGAAGCAGCAAAGCTATCAGGGAGTGCCCATACCACAACAGTGCCAGAAGGAAATATGAAAATATCACCAGCCTCCTCCGGTAGGAGATCAGAGGCTGATGGGCTGGCGTTTCTGCGAAAAGAGTCTAGTGGTACCTGCACATGGACAACTTGAGGATACAAATCCGTCTTGAATGGGTCCGGCTCGTATCCTTTAGCTAGTAGTATTTGGACGACCTTGGCTAACTCAAATGTCTCCGCGACAGCGAACGCGGTCACTGTCTGATAATAAAGGTTAGTAATTGGCAAGCAATGTCAGGAAATATACATAGGTACCTTTGATTTTACCAGATCTTCATCAGCCGTTTGAGTCTTCTGTCGCATCCCATCCTTCGACCTTTGCGCTTCTACAGCAACACGGCGTAACGATATTTTGGCCGCGGGGGATCGAGATGACTTCCGTTTCGGTTTTGTAGCCACAGTTGTGGGACTTTCAGCCTCGGTAATTGTTTCTGGTCTCACACTCTGGTGGTCAATCTTAGACGAAAAGAACTCCTTCCCCCATTGTGAGGAGATGGATGGACGAGAAAATGGGGAGAGAGTATGGTCGAATCTCGAGAGGATCGGTTTGGTTTTAGTTCTTCTATAGACAAAATTTAAAAAGCGGCGGGCAAACATGGCGACGGGGGTATATCGAAGAGTTAGGCTATATTAATCCAGACATGTCGAATTAATTAAAAGTTCTGTTGGCACTGCATCCTGCGAAGGTACTGCAGCTGGAGCCGAGATGTGAAGCGGGAGCTGGTGGAGGTGTGGAAATTCGATTGTCCGTGCCGGCTGCTTAATCATCAAGCCTGGATTACCTAACTACACCAGCTTCCCACTCCTGTCACTAACAGAGCGTTAACACTGTGTTGTGGACTCCGAAGCAGCCGGTATGGAAGTGGACGAACCGAAGGATTCCGAGAGTGATGGAGTAGGGTTGAAGTCAACGGGGCGGAAGCCGAGCCATACTCCTTCAATATCGCCTCCTCGAGAACGGCCGGGACATGACCAATACCCTCCAAGCACAGAATCAGACGAAGATGAAGACGAGGACGAGGAGGAGCCTCGGCTCAAATATGCTTCATTAACCAAGAATATTAGCTCTGTATATCGAAATGGAGATGCTACAAGCTCTTTCATGGTTGCGGGAGATAAGATGGTGTGTGGTATCTGTATATTTCGACAACAACCACAACAACGGGATTCAGCTGACTATGATAGATCGTTGGGACACATAATGGAAACATTGTATGGGACATTTCATGGTCAATAGATCCATTCTTTTATTTCTAACATTCGTATAGCATGTTTTATCTGTCCCTTACTTCCAGGTCCTTCGTGTTTACCATGCGCACTCCGCAACCGTTTCCTCCATATCAATATCGCCCTTTCCGCCGCCGCTTCCCAGCCTCCGACAGGATTCATTCGGAAGATACGCCGGCGATGATAATAGCATCAAATCGCGATCTACTCCGCAGAAGAGTAAAGACTCTTCGAAAACCCAGCAGCTCCCCGCAATCCCAGCGACTCCCTCGAATTCGATTTACATCGCATCCTCCTCGATAGATGGGGATGTTTGCGTGTCATCATTAGTCGATCCAAAAGATGTCCTCCTGCGGAATTTCGGACGCCCAGTTCAAGCTGTAGCTCTCTCTCCGGAGTACAAAAATGACAAAATGTACATTTCCGGAGGACTTGCTGGAGCCTTGATTCTTACCACAGGCGGTAGGGTTGGGACAAAGTCAAATTCTACCGTTGTGGCAGGCTCTACTACTAATACTCCGGGTTGGCTCAGCTCTCTTGGCCTGGGCGTAATTAATGGTAAAGATACTGTTCTACACAGTGGCGAAGGAACTATTAGTGTCATAAAATGGTCACTTTCAGGAAAATATGTAATGTGGGTTAACGAAGAGGGAATCAAAATAATGCGCACAAATTTACATCTTGAAAGTGCGGATTCTGAGTTTGCCTGGAAACGCATGAGTCATATCGATCGGCCTAATCGTCCCATGTGGGAGGAAATGGCGAGCGTCTGGAAACCCCGGGCTGAATGGGTGGACGAAAATGCCATGGATTTTGATGATAGCCCTGGAGGCTTGCAACCTCAGACACACTCATCAACCGCCAACGCAAGCAACGGTCGAAATCCAAGTTCTGTCGAAAAGCTTGTTGTAGGCTGGGGTGGCACTGTTTGGATCATCAATGTTTTCCCAGGCGGATCAGGTACGGGTAAGGATGTTGGAGAACGAAAAATTGGATCTGTAGAAGTTGCAACTATGTTAGTGGTAACCATACCTTACGTTACGGTGACGAGACTTACTAACTACCTTGCAGATTACGCACTGATTGTATTATTTCCGGA